TTGAACTCAAGCTTTTTCAAAAGTAGCATCTTCTCTCTAACTTTTTTATTTTGCTGATGAGTTTCTTTGTTTTTCCAAGTATTCATTTATGATTGTCAAACCTATCCATCTTTTCTTTTTCACCATGCTTTTGAAACTCCTCTCATTCACAAATGTCATTATCAGAATAAAATCCATTCCCAATTGACCCAGTCAATTGTTGGATGCAGCTCCTTAAACGTATCTGTGTTTCTGTGTCTCGTCTCTCAGACTAAGTTCTGCTAAGTCCCTTGCCTTCCCAAACCCCCCCCCTGGCTGTCAGGTTGCCCGTGGAGATCCTAAAAAATGCACACTTAATCCTGCAAATATTAGAGGCCACATTCTTCCACAAACACACCAGCAGCAACTAGACTTTTGGAGAAGTCTGCGTCCTATTTTCTACTTTAATGAGCCTGATTTTTCACGAAGAAGTTGAACATTAATGGAGTAACATCAACCATTAACCCAGTTGCAATCATTTTAATGATCATAGTGTCATAATGTCATCTGAATGATACCTTCTAACTGAAGTGGGTACTTGAATAGAGGTATTGTGTTTGTTCAGCAGATCCAAATTAAGGTCTTGCACATCATGTATTTGTTTATTTGCCTTTTTGGACTTTGTGGGTACAAAATTCCCAGTCATGTTACATAATGTGATTCAAGACGTAAGCACTCAAACTCAAACTTGCAAGCGACCATGATCAGTGACATGATGTTGTTGGCCAAGGCAATGTTAATGCCAAGAAAACACTTTAAAACATTTAAAAAACTGCACTTGAACCCACATTCTGATCATTGGCCCAGGGTCTGTTTAATGTTTTGACAAAGTTTTTTGATGCTCAGTGCTAACTATGACAAACGTGTGTCAACTTAATTATTTCCCGCGAGGGAGGATTTCTTGGCGGGTGGCTGTTAAGTACTTGCTGTTACTTTCCATAACACAGCAGTCTAAATGCTGCATGTGACGAAGGCAGAAGACATTTACTGTGGGGGTTTAATATGTCAAAAGGACTGATGGTACAAATTGTTGCCTTTATATCAAAAATCATCAGAGTTGGGAATTAGTGGAGTACAAATACTTCGTTACTGTACTTAAGTACATTTTTCTGGTATCAGTACTTTACTTCACTACTTATTTTTCTGACGACTTTTTACTTTTACTTCTTACATTTTTAACACAAATACCTGTACTTTCTACTTCTTACATTTTCAAAACAAGCTTGTTACTTTAGTTTTAATCTGTGTTTGGTGGCGTGATCATTATTATTTAGAGTCATTAAGCTCTTTCACACCAAGTACTGTTCCCAGGAATAGTTGCCGGAACTTAGTTCCCCGGAACTCTTTAGATCCGGAACTATCTAGTAGATCGCGTTCACACCGGAATAAGTCCCTGAGGGAGGATTAGGCAAATGAAGCCGCTGACGTTACTTCTTCTTCTTCTGCTTTGGGTTTACTGGCAGGCCACAAACAACTTCACGGCGTATACTGCCACCGTGCCCACGTTTTATTTTGTGTCTCTCTCCGTTGGTGCGCTGGACTAATGCTAATGCTAATAATGCTAATGCGAGCAAATAAAATGGCGGCTTCACAAAACGGGGCGTGATTTGCAATTCGCCCAGCCAATCAGAAATTGCAAACCACGGCCCGTAAAACTCTGAAAGGTTTTGTGAAGACGCCCTTTTATTTGCTCGCATTAGCATTATTAGCATTAGCTCAGCGCACCAACGGAGAGAGACTAACTTATGGCAACACAAAATACAACGTGGGAGCGGTGGAGTGATGAGGAGGTGTCTGCGCTTCTGGCGATTTACCCGGGGCAGCACCCGTGAAGTTGTTTGCGGCCTGCCAGTAAACCCAAAGCAGAAGAAGAAGAAGTGACGTCAGCGGCTTCATTTGCGTAATCCTCCCTCAGGGACGTATTCCGGTGTGAACGCGATTTACTAGGAGAGTCGACTAAAGAGTTCGGCGGGACTAAGTACCGGGAACTAAGTATGGCAAATTACTTGGTGTGAAAGCGGCTATTATTGTTCTTTTAATATAAAGGGAGGTCAGTTACTCTTTAAAACAGCTGGTAGTTACAGTATGGGTACTTTTTACTTAAGTAAATTTCAAAGCCCATACTTGTTTACTTTTACTTAAGTAAAGAAGTTTAGTCAGTACTTCTACTTTTACAAGAGTATTTTTGAGTATCTGTACTTCTAATTGAGTAAAGGATGTTGGTACTTTTGCCATCTCTGCAAATCGTTTTAATCCCCATACAGAGAAATACCATTTGATGATTTGTAGGGACTGCATACCTTATAATCGCAGCACACTTTACAGAAAGGAAACAATTGAGTTTTTAGTTCAGTAGGATGTTGGTGCAGCTCACTCACCGCTCCAAACAGTCGTCCATCTCTGTTCATTGCCAGATAGCGATTCGCACACACTCCTTTGATGACCACTTCGCCCACTGAGGTCGCCTGGAGTTGAAGTTTTACTGAGGAAGAAACAAATGTTAGTTTGAACCAATACAGACATATTTAGTAGTTTGCTTGTGGGATGTTTAATTAAAGGGAAAAGAGTAAGGGCTGTGTAGCAATTTTATAAAAATCCAAAACCAAATCCTATTGATGTTTATGGTTACCACAGAGCCAGCAACTCGCAACGCATATCAGATCAAGGATGCAATGTGAGGCATTTCAATATGTCATGTTTTCTACAGGAGTAAACACGAGTAACAAGTAAGGCCTTAAAGACAGCCTGTTCTAACATCTTGCAGGGCACAGTTGAATTTGAGGAAAGATCTGTGACTAGCTAGATAGCACAAGACAGAAATAACAAAGATAGATAATGATTCAACCTAAATCTGCATTAGTTAATGTAAGGTGGCAGTGAAACAGTGACAAGCTTATCACTCATGCACACACCTTATCACCAAATTATAAAGTTGTCAAGGCTAAGTAGAAGCTAGCAAATACATTCCTGCAGACATTGTTTGTCCAGTCTGTGTTTTCCTGATAAACACATTTCCAATAGTAACTTTAATTTTAGCTCTGTTTCTATTGGAGGCAGTAAATCAGATGGGAAAGCAAAATAATAGGCTAAAGAACGTAAATTAAGCTAACCGATCATTCATTTTGATAACCAGCAACTCATTTGCAATTCTCCTAAATTCCTTCTTCATTTGATACAATCCAACGGTTTTTTTTTTGCAGCTGAACCACCATAAACACAAGCAAAATTAATCTCAACCTTGAAAGTAGCAGTACGAGTCACTTAAAGCGGACAGAGCAGAGTACCTGTTGCCTCGCACACGTATCAAAATCATCTCCACATTTCTTAAAAGAGAATGCTCGCCAACACAGCATACTTTGCATGAAGCCAAACCACAAAAAAAGGAAGCAGGGGCCCCATAAGGTAAATGAGAAGGTCTGTCCAGATTTATTCTCTTCACATAGATGCACATCTGTCTACAGTTAAGCTTGCTGCCTGGATAATTAATGTCTCGGATCAAAGAGGTGTTCTTCCCAGAAGAAAACGAATAATTAGTGCGAGTGTGCTGCCGTGTGTTTAGTGTTTCTAGGAATGTTACGTCCCATTAATGTGAATACAGAAAAAACCTCCCCTTTAATTGTGACAGTTAAATGCACGTTAAAGGGTCATGGCAATGTTTTCTCTCAGTGATTGTGATGTTATGTTAAATGTTTGTGTTTCATGTATTGTGTCTGGCAAGGGTGTAACTTTGGTTTGAGAAGTGGGGGGGGGACACAAAACAGCGGGTCCTCCGCAATGAAACATTGTTTTCGATTGAATTCCATTTCCTGCCTTTCTACAAATATATATTAGGGACTATGGTGTTAACTAATCCAAGAAAAATGTGTAGTGTATATAATGAGTGTGCAAACTTATCTATCCATGAACCTGTTTTATTTGTGATGACCTCACATCCTATAGGGGGGTCCGAGGGCATGCACCCCCGGTAAGATTGTTGTCTTTGAATTGAAGTTAAATGCATCAATCTGGTGCACAAATTAAGAGATTTATGGATACAGCTCTCAACACTCATATGAAACAGAACTGTATATATTTCAATACTCCAAAAACCATTAGAATATGCTCACAACCAATAACACATCATTGATATACTCCTCTATCCTATCTTTATCTTACCTAGTCTGTCTCTTTTTATTTATGCATATTTTACTAATCACTCCCCTTTCAAACTGTGTTTTTAATTTTTTACTGACATTGGGATTATTTTTTTACTTATTTTGAACAACTATATTAAATAGATGGAAATATTTGTTTAGACCAAACCGTTTGAGACCCACTAAGATAACTAAACTAAAGTTTACAATCACTCAGCGAGTCCTTTACCTCCCTGAGCTGATGTTACCTCAGCCTCTCAGTCCGACAGGAGAGGACTCGCCCTCTCCTTATTGTTGAAACAGCTTCTAACCTCTGTTAGCTCCGAGCTAGCACCAGATGCTAACAACAACCCCCGTAACTCTCTCTGTCTCTCTCTCTGTCTCTCTCTCTCTCTCTCACACAAAATGCGCTCCTGCTACACACACACAGACGGTCCTCCGTGACGATGACCACTTGCGTAAAAAAAAAACATATTTGAAAAGTGGGGGGGGGAACAAACGAGATTTTGAAAAGTGGGGGGGACATGTCCCCAGTGCAAATTACACCCATGGTGTCTGGATATGTGTCTATGTTGGTGTTGGACATGGAGCTGCTGTGATGCAAGTCAAATTTCAGACTTGATCTGACCAATGATAATAGTACCAGGTATTATTCTATCGTATCGTACCATACAGTCTATGTACAATGTGGGTCCACTGTATCTGTAATTCATATAAGGGCAACAGTACTCTACATGTGGAATACTTTTCTCACAAAACTTTGACATGGGAAGAACACATGATGGACAAGACACAAAATACAAATATGGACCTGAAAATAGGCAGAATAATTTGTACCATTATTATATTCTGTAATGTGTCTGCTTATTATATCTTATGTCAAACCTGATGAAATGAATGTGGTGAAAGATTAGCTCAGTTTTTAGGGGATTTGTTTAGTGCTACAATACATGTAATTGAGCTTGTTAATGTTTCTATGTATTTAGTGCCTGTGCCCCTATCTAAAGCTTTGGATTGCTTATTGGGGTGTCCCATTTCCCTTCCTAACTGTTTGTGACTAAAATGAATTGAATTGAATCCTTGAATACATGTCTCACTAACATTACCAATTTGTACTGGAAGGTATGTTATGCTATCCAAAAGTTGGCGGGTCAATCACCTCCCTAACAATAGGAGCATTGATGAAAGTCAGCTCAGCTTAACTGTAAAAAAGCATTGCTGGGAAAAGCCAAATGATGAATACTGACTCCTGTTGTGTGACTCATTGGGGATATGTATTACTTACACTTTGATACTGATCATTTGCTATCCAGAAAAACAGGAAGTGTCTTTAAAAGTCAATTTAGTCTCGCTGAATGTAATTCAATTATTCTAAAAATAGTGCATGTGTCCTTGAGCTGGTTTCAGATCTGGCACCTGTTTGAAAGGTCACAATGTGTCTTGGGCAATGCACTTCTAAATATGTTTTCCTCGGAAAAACCTTTTTTTTTTTTAACGTCCCATCTCCTCCCCTCCCACTTACTGATGCAACCCAAAAGTAATCAGTGATACAGGAGCACAGATTGTTTCAAGTTCAATCAAGGACAACTTTAGAAAAGTAAAAACTTCTCTCAATTTATAAGTGAGTGAAAACTAAGAGTGATTGGGGGTTGTAATTATTATTGAGTTTTCACAGTATCATTTTTAGATATATTAGTGGTATAAATTCATTGACGTCAAACACTGACAGGGAGCTGTAGATCAGGAAATGACTAATTCCGGCTTTTAACTCCATGTTGTTCTGAGTGACGTAAACTCCACAGTAAGCAGTGTAAATGGCTTTGACTCAACCTGGGGATCTACATTTACTAAAAACATCCTGCATTTTCCATTAAAGTTCCCTTTGATTAAGGTCTGCAGTTATTAAACTTTCCATTCGTAGGCCTACACACGCTTTAGTGTTTACAAGTGGAGAGTAAACCTCAGCAAGTTGGAAAACTCACATCGTTCCTCCATGATGATCTGACTTCCTTGTTGCAAATTAAAAAAGGGCATAAAGAAGCTTTGTGTGCGGTGCAGAGCAAAGACGAAGAGGGACTGGAAGTACTTACTGTGGGGGTCGGTCTTCTCCCGGATTCCATCCACACCCCCTTCAGGCTTTATCCTCAAGAAGAAGCCCCCGTTCTTGCAGTACAGCCTTTTGGGGTCCTTGAAGCTCCCGGGAGGAAAGCCGCCGCTGCCTCCGTCATCAGGTGTGGAGGGAAGTGTTGTGATTTCTCCCGTGGCCATATCCTCCTCTTGCCTTGCTTCCCGGCGACTGCTTCGTCTCCTTCTTGAGCAGCTCAGGAGCCCCAATGTGGCCTCCCACCTCCCACTAACTGTTCCCTCCTCCACAGAGCTCCACAAACACTGATTCAGGTTAACCCCAGAGGTCAGTTTGCCTAAAGGACCCCCCTCTCAGGACAACCGGTGCCCTTTGAGTCCTGAGAATGTGAGACAGAAAGACTCCTTAATGCCTTTACTTGCAAGCGTCCGAATGTGTAGCTTGTAGATCGGGCAGCTGCTTTGCCAGTGTACTTTGAGCACACTGGTAGGGGGGGGATTGCATGCAGATTCCCCCTTCGCTTCCACTCTTCTTGCAATGAAGTGTTTAAATCAGGGCAGCTGGCTTAGATCTGTGTGCAAGGCTTTCCCCTTCGGGCCTCAGTTCGCATGCGCCCTAGGAGCACCAACACACACTCGCTCACGCCCACTAAAGGCTCACTTTTCTTACCAACCAACCCAGAAGGAGTCGTGAAAGGAGATGAGGGCAAGGAGGAGGGGGGGGGGGGACGTGCAACTTGGACTGTACCACTGAGACCCTTCAGAGCGCCAAGAGCAGCATGTGAACCGAACCAGTGTTTCCATTCATGCAGCCTGAGAGTTGAATAAGGTCTATTCATAGGTGCAAAACAACAATGTGAAGGAGAGTTGCCAGGAGACTCCGACGAGCAAGCCTGTGTCTTGAATGATTAGTTGGTGACGGGAATTATTTGTGCAAGGTTTAGTTTTATTTTTATTTTAGGACCATCCATTTGCCAAAACAATCACTGGTCAGGCCTTCTGGGTAATGGTAACCACAACTCGTGGATGGGTGAAAGTCAGCTGTGCTGTTGGTTCAACTGGTCAGTGTGGAGGAAATTCCACACAAAAACAACCTGTGAACAAATCATAGAAGTTTAAAGCAAAGTTTAGTTATTTAATAAAGTCAATAAAAGTCAAAGCATCAGAGTTAATCTATTTCAGCTGAAAGGACAGAGTCTTTGCACCAACAAGTTTGCACAAGATCTGACAACATACAACAGAAAATACAAACACTTTATACACTCAAAAGCAAGGAAAGGGGAAGGTCTCAGCGAGGCAATCTGCATTACAGGAAGTGTTTGCCAGATGGGTTGAAACGTGCATACATGTTAATTACAAACCAATGGTCGAAGAGACAGCCTTCTGTCTGTTCTAAGGAAGTGAGAATTAGAAGCTAGATGTGAATTCAAACCGCGGGAAAATCAAACCAGAGAAGGAAGTTATAATTAAATGAGACTTACAGTAATGATACATTTACTACAACAGTCAGTAAAACATCTGACATCCAGTCAGGACAATCGAGTGACTACAACTTGGATATTTGTAAAGGAGCCTTTTATGGGACTGTATCAATCGAGAAACTCTCTATTCTTATTTTTGGTTTGCCAGTTATTTCTTTCTAAAAAATACATGCATGACACATTCTTGTATTGTGTTGGCACCTGTTCTCAAACGAAGGCCACATACAAGCTCCTCAGGCTTTCTGGTGCAGGAAAACATTACTATAAAATGATAATTTGTGAATACCAATACCTCCATACCACATGTAGCACATCAAAAATAAAACTTTCCTTAAGTTCCTTTCAAAATCTTGGAATAGTAATTGTTCGTCAATGAATAAGGTACCCAAGCCAAATGAAATGAACAATCTATGGTCTCATCTTGAATATATGAAATTAAACTGGATCATCGTACACACCTTGTAAACTTTATTTAGGTAATCTAGGATTTTTGCATGCATCAGTCCAGGTTTTTCTCCATGCATATGAAGCATGAAGCAGCCAGTAATGTGAAAGCCTGAATTAGATGTGTCAGACTTCACTACCGATTTCCTCATCAATGTTGTGTCTGTGATGTTATGTCATACCCCCCCCCTCCTTCTCAATCGTACACCCCTGCTGAGCAATGCCCTGAGTCAAGGTTGTTATGGTTCCACCGTAAAGCATTTGCAAACTTTTTATTAGACTGAACTATTTTTAGGATGCAATTAGACACTCAGAGGAAATGGAAGGTCTCAGGTGTCGCTTTAGTTGACACCTTTGAAATACAACGCGCATAATAGGAAAGAGTCCAAAGGTAACCGAGAGAGTGCTTCTCTTTTACGTGAATGATCTTTGTTTTAAATGTTCCAATTAGTAGACATTTCTTCTGTGGAATAACAGTTTGTTTATAACTTATTATTTTTATTGTATTTGATCTTTTCTCGTTTTATATGAATATTTGTATTTGATCTTTTTTTTGCATTCTTACACTAACTTATTATGTTTCAATAAATATTTGTATTTAAATGTATCTTTTTATTGCACAATTTACTTTAACTTCTTGTGCTAATATAACTAATAGTATTTTACCTTTTTTTTACATCCTCACGTTTTTATAAATATTTTACATATTTATTTTTTCGTTATCTTTTTTTTATTTCCTTCAAAAATGGAGCAACTGTCATGAAAAATGTTCCCTTAGAAAAATAAAGTGTTGTGAATCTGATTGTAAAATAAGCCTTGATTCATGGGTGAATCAACGTAAGGCATCAAGTGCCAAGGATTGCAAGGGTCTGTAATATTCCTGTGACCTTCCAATGATCTTTTAGGAAGGTAAATTAATGGTTTCTAGAATACATCTTTTTTTTTTAAATAACCTTGTTATGACATTTATTTCACTTCGTTCAAGGAAATGACCTAATAAGACTTAACCAAAAACATTGACTCTGCCTGGAGCTGTTCCTTCCCCTACAAACATTACTATTATGACAGAGCAGGTCATTAAACTTCCAGTCTCAGGGTATAAGGTGAGCAGTGTTATCCAACCAGTAGGAACGGTAACAACACTAAAAACACACCGGTAAGAGGGGGAAATTATATTGTTGTGTTGGACATGCACTATTTCTTTTGGGAACTAACCATGAAGACAAAAGGTGTGTTCACCGTCATGTACTGTAAGCGAATTCAGGCCTGGTTGATAATACATATAAACTGACTTTTATTGTATTTCCTGTGAAAGGAGTACATTGAGAAATCTGACATATCTACTGACTGTACTTCATATCTGTTTGTTTTTTTATTTCAAGATGCTGTTCTCCAATTTCTTTCGAATACCTAGAGGTCAGGATTCAAATCATTAAAGAAGTCATCAGATGCTTTCGTGAACATGCATGAATTAGGAATATTCATGATTTTCCACAATTCAGAATCTCTTTCTCAGTCTCAGTTTGGATTAAAGAGTCACATGAATTTAAGTGTCATATAATAATTTGTCTCCCCCAAGTGGTAGCACATGTGAAGTTTTTTGTTTTTTTTAAATGTTGTTCTTTGACTATTTATTGATGACAAGAAAATAAAGAATATGAAAACACTTTATTTGACTTTTCCTTTGTACCATTCATACAAAAATACATTACAAACAAGTTAAATACATATATTTTTCAATTTGGGAATGTGTAGGACAGCCAATCCTTCAAAATGAAATCACAACAGCATCAGCTTTTCTTGTGTATCATCAGATGTTTGGTCAATGCCTGTGATGACCTCCGCATCAGTCTGCAAGACCAGGACGACCAGATCTAGAGCTTTCCTCCATGATTCCTGCTTCACACTCAGATTATCATAGATCTTTACTGCGGGTGCTTTGCTTGATTTAATCGGTAATGAAACTCCGCTATCCTCCTCTTCACCTTCCAAGGAAAGCTGTGATAACTTTGCATCAAGACTTTCGTTATTGTTCTGCAGTTGTTGGCGTGCTGCCGTCATGGCTTTGACTTTTGAGAACCTTCCGGTGTTAACCATTACGGTGGATATGTAATCTAATAAACCATCTGCAATGAGCTTCAACACTTGGCCTCTGTAAGGGTTAGCGGCTGAGTCCCTGTTCCTCTCTCTGTGATGTTTGACATGTTTCTCTGCTTCCCTTTGAAGGTGGTGAACACAAAGCATTTCTGTCACTCCAGCACCAGGCAGGAGGACTTTGTCTTCCAGCATGTGGTGTAAACGATAAGCACAGGCCCAGAACCGGTCCTCCATGGCCTGCAGCTTGCCATGTACGCAGCTCGAGAGAATCACTGTGACCAACTCACTGTTTTCTACAGTGGAAATATTCACAGTAATTAAAGGTTTTCCATCATAGCTGCTGAGGTCCCTCCATATTTCAGCCTTAACACCAAGACCGATACAGTGCCTACTCAACTGTGTGCCGTATGTCACCGGAACAGCTCCCGTTGCTTTAGCAAAGGCTCTCAAAACGGAAGCCTTCACTTTTTCCACCGCAAGTATATGATGTCTACAACAGCTCTGAATCACTTCCTCACGAACCAGCCCGCTGACAAGTATCAGGTTCACTCCCAGGTTCAACAGAAGTGCCACGATCTTTTCCATCCACTCTTTGTCTTTGCTTGAACTTGTAAAGTCGGACTGGTCGCTCACGCACTGTACACCTGTTAGCTTTTTAAAGCCAAGATGGCGATAGGTGTCTGATAAATCTCCATTAATTAGAGCAACTCTTAAGGACTGTTCTTTTAAGTGATGTGCAACTGAAGCCTGTTCATCAGATACAAGGACGATGCAGCCTGGTAAAACACATGCATGCTCCTCTGGTAAACCAGGAAGCACACAAGTCATCACTTTAGTAACATCAAATGTGGAACAGCTGATGTTTTCTGGATGATTTTTTGACTGTACTCGGCTAGCTTCTACTACTAAATTCATCGCATCGACACAACCATGACTCAATCCCTTTGCGATGTGTGCAATGTCAGGGAGCTTAGGGTGATCAGGTTGCGTTACTGTTGAGACATTTTCTGATCTGGCCTCGTAAAAATGTCTGCTGAGTTTTATTTTTCTTTGTCTACTGCCATTTAGAGTCTTAAGACCAACTGTTGATGTCTCTTGCAGGTTGCTTGATGCTTGGGAAGCTTCCACATTGGGTTTCTTTGACAGTTGAAATCCTAAAGCATGTGATTTCGCATTGAAGCTCTCAGATGGCTCAACATGGAGACCCTCAGTGGAGACGCTGCTTTTCCTGCAAACATCGACGCATATATCCATCCCTTCAGACAAAGCAGAGAGGATGTGAGGGACTGGAATCCCTCTCTGAAGGCACTCCAGAGCAGCACGACTCCACGCTCCGGCGAGAAACAGCAGGCATCCCGACCCTGTGTGATAGACCTTCTGGTGGGCCTGGATAGTCTCGTGAACCAGCTGACCCACGGCACAGCTCAGCTCCAGATTCTCAAAGATGCGAAAACAGGAGCACACCAGAGCTGACTCCCCGCTCGCTTCATCCTGGATGAACTTATACTTTTTATTGGGGCCCAAAGAGGAGTGTGTGATTCCTGCCAGCGCTGCGAGCTTCTGAAGTCCAACATGTTGTCGGTGGTTTATAATGGTGCTTCCAAGCATTACTTGAGGTGTCTGAATTGTAAAAGGAAAATAAATATTGATTACAAACTAAAAGTATTGTATTGAGTTTGGTTACCATTGCGTGTGTTAAGTCTTACTAACATTAATATGTAGTGGAAGGTAACTAAGTAGTTTATTTTATATTAACATAAGTTTGAGGCATGGCACTATATGCTATAGTACTTTGTACTTTACTTAATTACATTTCAGTGGGGAATATTATACTCAACTAAGTCTATATCTGGCATCTAACCCTAACTCTTGTAACCTGAAAAGTTATAATATTACATACAAAACATGTGATAAGCTTATACAATATGGTGCATCATTATATATTAAATGAAGCAGCAGTCACTTTAGAAGTGTGAATAGAACAATAATATAATATGCATACAAAACACATGTTATCCTGCATTATGTTAGATACTTAAGATAAACTTAGCTGGTAATACTTGGTGAACTTTAACATTTTGAATGCAGGACTGGCTATTAAGTGTGCATTAAGGTAGCTTATTTCTACAACAAACCTGCAAGACAGGCAGAAGCTTGCATGCTGAGCTAACAAGCTAATACTTTACTTCGAAAACAATACGTAACTTCTAAATTAACACTGCCAAAAACGAACCAAAACGACTTATGTCTGCACATGAAGATTTAGCTAAACAAGCTTCATCTATAAAAGAGTATGTTTACCTTAATTTAATGACATAGGATAGTTGTTTCTGTTCCCACTGACCAGCTGCTCCGGGGAAAAAGATTAAGCACTGCGCATGCGTATGGTTTCATGGTTGCCAGGCGACAAGAAACGATCTCAACCATTGGAGGACACTGTAAAATCCCGCCCATTACCGTTTGCAATTGGCTATTTTAATTACGTCACGCTGCTATAATGGTTTCTATTGGCTATCTCACATGTCATTCAACATAAGACCGTTGCTGCGTGCCTGCTTTGTTGACATCCGGTTATAATACACAACTTTTTCGACTTTCCCGGCTGAAACATTCATTTAAATGGTATGTTCATATACATGTTTGGTACAATGTATTTCATTTTCAGAAAATGTCGGGAGGTACCCTGAAATGCTGACAGACAGTGATATAAAGCCGTTCAACCGTGTTTGTTGGTTAGCTTCATGGAAGCTAAAGTTAGCTAACTAGCATGATAGCAACACACACTTCTTATGGCTCTTTCTGCTGCTCCTGCAGAATTAGTTACTATCAGAGGTGGAAGAGGCACTCAGATCTTGTACTTGAGCAACAAAGTTACAAGTAAAAGTCTTGCAATCAAAATGTTTTGCAGATTGGTCCATTTCAGAATCATATTATATGTTTTGATTATAATTATTGGTGTGTTAATGTGTGTATCTAGCTGGTGAAGGTGGAAATAATGTTTTATGTATTGATTTTCTGCAGGGTAGCTTGTGAATTTCTACTAACTAAAGTCGTATTTAACGGTTGATTATGTTTTATATAAAAGCAAAGTAAGTAAGGTACTACGTTAATGTAGTGGAGTAAAAGTACAATATTTGCCTTTGAATTGTAGTAGATTAGAAGTACAAAGTAGCATAAAACTATATATATTACTTTAATGTAACAGCACTTGAGTAAATGTACTTGGTTACTTTACACAACTAGTTACTATCTTATAGAAAGAAGCAACCACCTCTCAATGTGTGTTTTTTCTTCTTAGGCTTCAGGTTACCGAAAACCAACCTCTTCGTCTGGTCCAAGGAAAAAGGCAGTTCCCAAAATGGAACTGAACGAGGAACAAAAGCAAGAAATTAAAGAAGCTTTCGACCTCTTCGACACAGATGGCACTGGAACAATAGATGTGAAAGAGCTGAAGGTGGGCTCCTGGTCTAATAGAGATGGCAGGACGTGTTTGTCTGCAGAGATAGAAGAACTAAGATTATTAACTTTAAGGTGGGGTATGTAATTTATTTCAGAAACACTTGTTATATTCCATGGAATGCTCTTAACATCCCGGGCGATAGCAATGAATACATTAAATGCTTTGACAATAAATACATACAAAAATATCATCTGTGGAATTTGAAAGTACGCAGCCGAAAAAAATCTGCCCCTTCCTTCAGACTTCCTTACAGAGCCCCTCCTCCAACACACACAATGTGTGTGTTGGAGGAGGGGCTCTGTAAGGAAGTCTGAAGGAAGGGGCAGATTTTTTTCGGCTGCGTACTTTCAAATTCCACAGATGATATTTTTGTATNCTGATAGCAATGAATATATGAAATGCCTTGACAATAAATACATAAAAAATGTCATCTGTGGAAGCCGTGGCGCTGTAAAAAGCACGACCAATCATCTGAGCCGGCCCGGCTAAAGTAACTGGATGGCCTACCTGCCTGTCAGCCTTCCATCTGTGCACAAACTTATCTCGTGCCCTCATTGGTCATGTGTGCGTTTGTGTGTGTTGGAGGAGGGGCTCTGTAAGGAAGTCTGAAGGAAGGGGCAGATTTTTTTCGGCTGCGTACTTTCAAATTCCACAGATGATATTTTTGTATGTATTTATTTTCAAAGCATTTAATGTAT